CAGGCCAGCCACGCTGCCCTGAGCCAGGCCAGCTGCGCTGCCCCCGACCCTGGGCCCCGCCACGCTGCTCCCATCCCCTGCCTGGGGGCAGGCACACCCCCCACTTTCCCACCCGGGGTTTAAACTTGCCTCGCTTGCTGGGGAGGCGGGGTGACGATTCTGCTCCCTGCTGCCTGTTTCCATGGGGTCCTAAGACCCACCGGTTTTAGCCACGCACGCGTGGCAAACCCCACGCATCATCCCCTTTGAAACATTAGGGTGTGCCTGGGCACACCCGGCACACCCCGTTCGCACGCCTATGGGTGACATGCAGATTTTGTCAAACATTTTTCTGATAACATTTGAGATTGTTGGTGAAAAGCTTACTTTCAGACCTCCACTGTTTTTCTGGCCCACTCTGCCAGACTCCCTTATGACCCATCCAGACACGCTAGTCAAATTATGTTGGGTCGTGGGCATCAACAGTTTTCTTCAACTGGGTCATGAGAAAAATAAATGAATACCACTGCAGTAAGACATTATTTAGAAGTAGATAAGTGCAGGCCAGATTTGGTTGCCTGATTCCCTTACTGTTTACTGGAACATCCACTTTGAAGTGCTAATCATCCCTTAACATTAAAGCTAGGAAACATTTCTTTAGCTGGTATGGATGTTTTAAGAGTTCATCACCAAGTTTACCATAAACAATTATTCCAATGACAGACTACAATGCAATGGTTGGAAATGGGAGTAGGAGATCTGGGTTCCAGGACAAGTTCTGCTTCTGACTCATAATGTGATGCTAGTCAGATTACTCAACCGCTCCATGCCTCTTCCTCCTCTGGAGAAAGGGAATGCTGATATAGATCTTTATAAAGAGCTTTTATCTCTACAGATGACAAGTGCTGTATAATTGTCAAATATTATTATACTGACAGATTTAGGAGAAAGGTTTCTACCTACTGGTATTTGTTCCAAGGAATCAAATAAGCATGTTTTGATGCTTATACACTTGCATATCTACAAGTGCCTCATGTAAAGTTACCTCGTGTATTGACACAGAATTCTGATACTTAAAGTTGGAAGGTATTAACAGTTTGATGTTTTTCAGAGGTGCTGAGCACTGTCTGGTCCACGAAAGCTCATCACCTATTAAACCATCTTGTTAGTCATTAAAGTGCTACATAGTTTTTCCTTTTGTTCTGTGGTAGTAGTGAGTACTCACCAACTCTGCAAATTAGACTATAATTGCTACCATCTGAGAGAGGCCTGCAAGAACAGGGACAGATCCTTGACAACAGGTATTGTGAAAACCTGGAAGGGTGGCACCCCGAAACTCTCACAAGTGACTGGAACAAGATGAGTGATGTGTCAATAGAGGGCAGTTTCAGTTTCTAAAGAATGATTTTAGTAGTAAGCAGAATGCTTGTAGGAAGTTACAGAAGGAAAAATTAAAAACCTGCAGTGAAGCACTAGTATTGACATTTTGGTTACGTACAGGTAAGTTTGACAATGTTAGATTCTCTTCTAAGAACTGGGGCAATTTTGAAAAAAAAAAGTTGCCAAACAACATGTGAGGGTTTTTAACTTCCTTTTAGTAATGGAAGTTGTAGATAAGAAGCCCCACTGCTTTAAAAATGTACAGGTACGTACTCCACTAGAGATTCTATACCAAATCCTGGTAAACTCCTCAAATAGTAATATGTTGTTAGAATTATGTGAAATGGGGAGTTGGTTCCTAATTATAGAGGTGTGAATTTAACAGTGTTTCAGTCTAAATACCACCAGTAGCAACTGAGTATTGTATTTCCTCAATGTTGATAGTGATAGTTTTTTTTTAAATGCATCGTCTTTAACCTTATTTTTGTCAAAAGGTTTTTTATTTGTTTTTGTGTGGCTTAGTACCGAATAGTCTTGAGTTGGTGATGGCTGGTAATGAAATGAGACTTTGTAGAAGCACCAGTTTTTAACTCATGGTTGATTTTGCTTTTGTCTTACATTCCTCTGTGTGTTTTAGTTGATTAAAACAAAGATTAGAATGAGGGGATTATAAACTGAGGCAAATATTTATTGGTATAATTTGCACCTGCTGCCACCTGGAACAGGAATTGGTGTAAGAGAGAGCATGATGGGGGCATGTGTGTATATGTGAGAAAGAGAGATTGCAGTTGGCTAAGCAAGGAAGAAATTATAGACAGGGATGTTTTAAGATGGACTGCAGTCAGAACTGGTAATTTTTAAGTAATTAAAACAAATATTTTCTTACCTGTCCTTTCCCTATCAACTCCATGATCTTTTCTTTTTTAAACAAGGAGTGTCAAACTCATCCCCAAATTTGGTGCCTGAGTTAGTGATGTGAGCAGACAAGATGAGCATGAGTTACAACAATCTTTCTTCACTACAGGAAAGATGTGTGATCAGATGATCAGCAAAATGAAATTTGTATATGTCTGCCTGTGCATGCATGTGTGTGTGAGAGAGGGAGAAAGTTCTTGCCATTTTTTAGATAACTACATATTAATGTATTTATAAGAATATAAAAGTACCACTTCCATTTTTATAATCTTATATACATAAATTCTAACCCATTTTCATAGTTTTTAAATTTACATATAAATCGTAGACTAAATTTATAATATATGTACAAATATACAGTATTTTGATAAGATGGGATATGTGCACTGAGAGAATCTATATATCTGTGCAGGTAAGCAGGTAGATATATGGCAGGGGTAAGAGAGCAGGTAGCACAAATAAAAAGAGGCGTTCAGTGACAGGACCAGACCAGGAGAAGAAGATGTAAAGGTTATAATTTCACTTGCTGTCACCATAAAACACATTTTACATTAAACACATTTTAAAATGTATAAATTATTTGGTTCAAGACAGAGACTAAAGAACAAGAAGGTAGACTGGGCAGTGACATAGGTGCTCAAATTTTATTTAAAATTCATTATTATAATGCAGTATTGAGGGCTCACAACATTTGAATATTTTTAGCACTATATTATGAGATTGTCATTTTATCCATATTAGATCTGAAAAGTCTACCAATAATTTATGAGGACAAACATGCATGCATTTCCTGAATGAATTTTGAAACACTGGTGTGTGCAATGATGTGTTAATGGACTTGGACGCTGAATTCTCTTTTTCATTAATGGGAAGGTCTTTGCCTCCATGCACATGATAAATAAGAGCACAAATTAGAATCTTTAGAAAGCTGACAACACCTGTTGTAGATAGAAGGAAGAATACTCACTTGCTGATTTGGGGAACTTTCAGTATTTGCCTCGAGCTTGCTTTTTAATAAACTTGGACATTTCTCGTCATCAGTGCCTCATGTGAGAGCTCATTTTTAATCTTAGTTTTCATAGGACATTTTGGCCCAAATTTTCAAACATGTCCACTAATATTCAGGGCTTTAGTTTTGGAGTCCTCAACTTGAGACATTGAGACTTTCAGAGATATTAAACACCCACAATTCCATTTGGCTGGTATCAGTTACAGAGGTGAGACTCTTGAACAGGTCGGATATCTACATAAAAAACCCTGTGAGTTCCCTGACCAAGATTTTCAAAGGTGACTAACAATTCTGAGTACTTAAATAGTTAGGTGCCCAATGTGAGATAGTTTAAAAGGGCTTGATTCTGAGAAACAGGTACTTGGCACTTTCTGAAGTTGGACTCCCCAAACTTACGCATCCCAAATCACTAATAAGTTCTGAAAATTTTGTCCAATATAATGTATAAGGTCAATTTTCAAAACATGATCGCTATTGATGCATATTTAATTTTATGCATACATGGTAAATGCAAAGTTGCATGTGCACAAATGGAGGCCATTTTGAAGATGTGGCCCATTGTATCTAAAACAAATGTCAGAATGAATTGTTACTGATTGTGCTACTTTTGTTTTGTATTCCTATCTTGAATTCCTGCTTCTTACCTGACTTTGAACAATAGTTTCCTGTTAAACTTATGACTTTTATTTAAAGAGATATGATCCATGAGAGAGCTATAAAAATAAAGTTAAGGGTCATGAAAGATTTTCTTCCAATTGTTGAAGCTATGATCAGCCTTTGTAGGACATAACTATTATCCATATATACTTCTTATTTTGCAACAGTTTTAAATGTCTGTTTATCTGAAGTATCTATATAGGTTTATGGTGTATATTATTTAGAGATAACAAATATCATAAGGCCTCTAACCGACACCAATCCTGTGCATATGATCTCTTACACCAGCCTTGGCTAATTAACAGTTTCAGATGTACAGTGCATACATTTTCAGGAAAACTTATGCCTAAGTTCACAGTAAATATGGAGTTGTATGTAGCTCATGGAAACTGTAGATCTAAAGTACACAGTATTCTATTATGATCCATAAATTGTCCATACACAAGATGCAGGGTCCTGCAAAGTATGCCATTTTTTTTTATCAGGAAGGTGTAGCTCTCGGGCTTCTGGAAGTGTGCCAGTTTAGCCCTCATTTGAATATTCCTGTCTAATAGTTAACTTTCTTAATTTCCAGGATATTGGGTCTGAGTTATATTTTTCCAAGTTCTCAGGTAGCTGCACATAAAAGATACCTCCATTTTCATTGCAACAATACAGTCTACCTTAATCTATTGGCCTGTTTTTTACCCAGACGTTTATGATCGTATAGTAAATCGCTCTCTTTTCCCACTCCCCCTTTCAGTATTTGATATTCAATGGCTGGAAACGGAGCTATCAAGTGGCTGAAATGAATATGAACACTATCTTAGAAGAGATTCTGATTAAAAGATCACAACAGAAGAAAAGGACATCTCCGTTAAATTACAAAGAGAGGCTGTTTGTGCTTACAAACTCAATGTTGACATACTATGAAGGTCGAGCAGAGGTAGGAGATAAGGTTTTATATTCCATCACCTTTGTTCTTTATTGAGAGAAATGCTTGCTTTTTTGTATTAATGGTTTTCTTCCTGCAATATATTGAACCTTGTCTGTTCTGGGAGGTGTGATGGCTGTATGTAACATCACTTGTTGTTTCTCTGACTGATAGCACAGAGTTATGGAGGTGTAAATGGTAAAGCAATTACAAAGTAAATGTAAACAAAGATCTAATCAAAGTCTCTGTCAACTATTAATCTCTAAAATTATTATAATCTCTCTGAGAAGCATTTAAACCAGGATGGTAATCTCAGCCTCCTGAGTACTGTGTGAGAGAGGCTTAAGCTACAGTAGGAACTTTAATGGTACCCCATTTCCTACAGGACACTAGTGCTACACCCCTTGTTGGGCCTCACAGACGTCTTCACCTACAGAGTCAGTACAGGACCTCACATAAGTGCTGCCCCTAACCCTCTCCCCAGGAACACACAAAAACCTCTCACCTGAGTTAGGTGGTTTAGGTCTGCAATCCAGGATAGCAGACACTGTTCAAGATAAAGGGTAGAGACTGGCTTCTACTTTTTTGGTAATCTGCCCATTTTTTACTTTGCGTCTTCCCACAATTTTCACTTTGTGCCAGAAGGACTGACAAGTTCTTTCACAGTTCATTGGGAAAGAACCATAAAGGTCTGTACAAAAACCAATGGGGTTATGCGTTCAGATGTTCTAGCAACTCACATTTGGGAGAGCTGCACCAGTGAGGACACTGTAACATGGTATGATTTTGCACTATGGCTATTCACACACAGACTAGGCAGGGTGCTGATCACCTGGGCTAACCCTGCAATGAAGAGTTGCACCAAGGAGAGAGGCACCAGTTGCATACACAGAGTACACAGGCAGGCTACATTACAGCAGCATCACTGTGTTTGCTCATACAGTATTATATACAAAAGAAAAAAACAACAAATGGTCTGGTAGCACTTTATAGACTAACAAAACATGTAGATGGTATCCTGAGCTTTCGTGGGCACAGCCCACTTCTTCAGATGACCAGAGTTAACTTTTGTTAACTATACAAAAGACTAAATGAAAAGAACATTGAGATGGTGAAGTCAAGCGTTTTGCAGAAGTTGGGAAAGATGGTGATTAAAATTGCTTGTCAGTTGTACAACCCCATGTAGACTTTTCCCCTCTTATGACAGACTTACCTTCCTTTTGAAGTTATCTAATGTAAATATTGAGTGAAACAGCATTTGATGTGAATAACACAGATTAACTAAATTGTGCTCTCCTTTATATTAGTATACTAATTTAAGCACAGTTACTGAAATGAAGCAGAAACAACAAGCTTGTTCTTTGCTACACTGGCAGCTGGACCACTGTCAGCCCCAATTAGCTATGGTCAGCAAAAAGTCATTTTTGTGGTTTAGACAAATCCTCTGATTCTCACACTCAAGTGATCTCTAGAATCATTTTTATTGGATAGCCTGAACCTGATATTGACAAAAGCATTTTCAAAATCAATGACTGGATTCTCCGTTCTGCTTAGATCACTTTGTGCAGTTTAAGCGGCAGAAACTAGTCTTAAATGGCTGGAGATAGCCAGTGGAGAATTCCTTTTGTTCCGCAGAAAGGGATCTAGAGGTCATAGTAGACCATAAGCAAAATATGAGTCAACAGTGTAAAGTTGCAAAAATAACCAACATTAATTCTGGAATGCATTAGCAGGCGTGTTGTAAGCAAGACATGAGAAGTAATTCATCCATTCTATTCTGTGCTGATTATGTTGGTCCAATTCTGGGATCAACATTTCAGGAAATATGTGGACAAATTGGAAAAAAATCCAGAGAAGCGCAACAAAAATGATTAAAGGTCTAAAAAACATGACCTATGGGAGAAGATTGAAAGAATTGGGTTTGTTTAGTCTGGAAAAGAGAAGACTGAGAGGGGATGTGATAACAGCTTTCATGTAGCTAAAAGGTTGTTACAAGGAAGAGGGAGAAAATATTCTCATTAACCTCTGATGATAGCACAAGAAGAAATGAGTTTAAATAGAAGCATGAGGGGTTTAGGTTGGACTTTAGGAAATACTTCCTAACTACTAGGATGGTTAAGCAATGGAATAAATTGCCTAGTGAAGTTGTGGAATCATCACTAGGAGATTTTTAAGAGTAGGTTAGAAAAACCCCTATCGGGGCTGGTCTAGATGATGCTTGTTCCTGCCATGAGTGCAAGGGACTGGATTCAATGACCTCTTGAAGCTTCTTCCACTCCTATGATTCTGTGATTCCACTTGCAGAAAGTTGGTGGAGGTGGCTCAGTTGCCTCTTGAACCAGCTGTCCCATCCTGGGTGTGTAAGAAGAAGAAAGGGTACAACAGGGAGGTTCAAAGGCACAGTGGAGTGGAGCCCCATTGTGGTGGATCCTCCCCTGGATTACAGCATATTACAAAGTTTACATCCAAGCCAGGTTTTACAGTAGGCCACTTGCTGCTTTAACTTCCACTGGGGGTATGCAGCCAAAGACCAGAAAGCTTCAAGCTGACCCTAGCAGCCGCCATTCTCCACTACTGAGCAGATCTCAGACATACTGGAGGTTCAAGGCCCAGATGTATACTTGTATTACTATATTGACTATGTAGTTACCAGGTGTACTTGTGTTGGGACATGGATTAATCTCTCCATTTTCTGTTCATGTGGCTCTGGTTTCAAAAGTTTCTTCGAACAGTTACCTAACCATGCATGCCTTGTCTCACTCAGTTAATTTCACCATTATTTTGAGCCAGAAATTAATGCCTTTTACTGCTCACCCTGAGGAACCTGTCTTTTTTGTCTGAAATTCTTTTGGATGCTAATTGGGCTTCCATTGATTTGACTCAATCTGCATTCTCTGTGGATTCTAAATTTGGAAAGGCAGGATGCATTTTTTAGTAATTTCCATTTAACAATATCTCTACTCTATATTAAATAGAGATTATTAATATATGAAGGTAGCTCTGAAACACTGATATTAGAGGTCCTTTGTGTTGCTAAATAAATGAAGTGGAAGAGAGTCTGTTTTCAGGTTTCTAGCAGAGGTTATAGATCTTTGTCTACAGTAAGTTAGTTGATGGTATATCTGTAAACTAGATCATGTCACATCTGATGATTCAATATTAAAATAGTCACAGTGCTTCTAGTTATTATATCTTACTGTATTTGAATATAATAGTTGAAGGGTTACTTCTCAATCAGTTATGTGGTTGAAATACAAAGGTTGAATTTTGTTGATGAAGGAGAGATATGGATATAGCATAGAGCTAAGCTAAGGATTAAGGTTGATGTTCACAGTTAAGATTGATGAGTAAGACTGGGCAATTATCAAGAGGATATCGTAATATCTGCGTTCAGTTACAGTGGTATCAGTGTAACGCATTGTGATGCATTAAATAACTCTGGGCCATCATCTACTTCTGGATGCACATACACAACTCCCCAAATAGCCTATAAGGCTGAGGTCTGAAATCCTGACTCAGGCTACGTCTAGACTGCAGAGTTTTTGCGCAAAAATGACTGTTTTTGCACAAAAACTCGCAGAGCAAGTCCACACTGCAAGCGCATTTTTGCACAAGAAAATTGACAGTAAATCAGAAGAAGAGAGGGATTTTTGAACAATAGTTGTTCCTCTTTCTACGAGCTCTTGTTCAAAAAGGTGTGTAAGGATGGGAAATGGGGGTTTTTTTTGCACAAAAACAGCCTATGGAAAGAAGCACAGGTGCCCTGGTGGCCATTCTGTTAATGGCAATCAGAGCTTTCTTGCGAGAGAGCGTCTTTCAGTCTGGACGCTCTCTTGCACAAAAGCGCATCGCTTTTCCCATGTGCTTTTGCAGTGTGGAAGATCTCTTCTGCAAAAAGCTTTTTGCGCAAGAAGCCTGCAGTCTACACATAGCCTCAGTGGGTGTTTTCCTGAGGAATTACCAAGTAAAAAATGAATGAGGAGCCTACAACTTGACTTCAGTTGAATGACTGGGTCAGTCCCTTAAAAAGAACTCAGTTAATGTGCACAAGAGAAATGGATTGTTCGTGACTATACATAAACAAAGTTAGATACAGAAGTGGAAAATTTTATATATATAACAACAAAAGGCAGCCAACCATGGAAACATTTATTCTTGTAATGCTAGTGTGATTTCTAATGAATTGTACTGTATGCAGTCATCAGTTGGAGTACATTTGATCCTTCACATCAAGTTATGCAGAAAACAGATTTTATTCTTGGTTTGACATGTCTTACCTATAATAATGTGTCGTAATGCTATTTAAATAATGAAAGCTGTCTAATAACTATAATGTATTAAATAAAACAGTGTTTTCATGTGTTATTTTATCTGTTCTTAACCTGCTAATTGTGTCTTTATATCTATCCTTAAGCAACTTAGTCAGAACAAACTTATCAGGACAGTGGTACAACATATTCATGGTGAATCTGCATTCTACTGTCCTCTAACAATGTAAAAGTATTAATTAAGACACAGGCACTGTAAAAAGCTGTTGAAATTGAGATGATGTGCAGAGCTTAAGTGTGTTTTTGTGGTGGATAGGGGTGAGTGTCACAGACCTGTTCAGAAATAAGTAAAATATTGAGATTGTTGCTGAGAAGCACCCTTCAAATATTATCTTTACCAAAGCTGCTGCTGCTACCAGAGAGCCTTTCCACTTAACTCATTATCTAATCATGTCACTAGTGCTTTATCAGTTAAACAAATCTGCATCATCAGGAAAAAGGGAACGTTTTGCAGATTAGTTTAAGCAGACAGTTTTTTAAAAGGGAAACCACATACAGTACACTGCATGAAACTGCATGAAACTTTGGGGAGGGAAAATTAGAGCCACGTATGCTTGGGCAAAGCGTTAGATTTATGAATAGTACCCAGGCAATTTTTGCGTTCTTAGTAAGCAGATAGAATCTTTGTTTTAAAGTTAAATTTCTTGAAGATATCCTGCTTTTAGAGAATTGGGAGAACAAAGA